GGCTGACACAGGCCAAACTGAGAGGGCTGACACAGGCCAAACTGAGAGGGCTGACACAGGTCAAGCTGAGAGGGCTGACACAGGCCAAACTGAGAGGGCTGACACAGGCCAAGCTGAGAGGGCTGACACAGGCCAAGCTGAGGTTGTCACCTAAGATGGCACTAATTAGACATTTGATGCCAGGAGACAATGAGAGGGTAAGACAAGTGGAGGATTACAAAAAATACTTTGTAGAGAGGTAACTCTGAATAGGGCTCGGCGACGGAGGCCTGACGTATCATGCATGTGGACGCAAACACTGCAAGCTAAGTGACAGATAATGATGATTAGGAGGAGGGAAGAGCTGAGCACACCTTTGCAGATGGGCTTGGACCCGTTCCAGGTACGGTCCTTGGTGCAGACCAGCACGGAGGAGCGGTCGGCGTCCATGGTGAAGCCCGGCGAGCACTGGAAGGTCACGCTGCGCTGGTAGGTGAAGTCGCTGCCCAGGCGGATGCCATTGGCTGGCATCCCCGGGTCCCCGCAGTTTATCACTGCGGGACAGAGGCGTGAATGATGAGTGAGAGGAAGAGAGTGAGGGAGAGAGAGAGATGGGTGCCACTGAGAACCGTACCTCAGAACCACCGGCAGAATCAACAAGGTGATGGACAACATACCTTTCAGTTTCTGTAAAAGGCCCCAGCAGCACTAAAACCCACTATGAGTTTCATTAAATACTCCCCAGAAAGGAGTGATGTCATTTATTTACATAGCAGAAACTTTTGTCTAAAGTTACGCATATAATCAGAGATCCCCAATGCACCCAATGTCCCAGGAGAAATTCAGGTTAAAGGCCGTGCTCAAGGTGTCAATGTTGACATAACTCTGCCAGCCACGGGAATCAAACCGGCAACCTTCCCCTCCAAGTCCTAACACTCAGTGTCATACAGTACACCTCCCACACACCCCCCTCTCTAAATAGCAGGGAAACTGGGGGGGGGGACTTTGATTGAGAGGAAGTAGACTGACTTTGGACAAACGATGCCCTGCTGACTTCCTGTGCACCTCACAGGACTGACCTCACAGGACTGACCTCACAGGACTGACCTCACAGGACTGA